ATCTAGAAACTCCTCTTCCTGAAACATGGAACTGAAAGCCTGAGAGTTCCTGGGATTGAGCACACCTGGTTTGCAGAGAGGCGATCTGAGTACATTTCCTTCACTGCCTGATTCCCTGCACTGCAATTCCCTGAGCACTGGTTGGAAGTAGCCGTGAGCACAGCTAAGGCAGTCCAGAAAATCCCCTAAAAAATAAAATACAAACACCATACTAGTTTTTTTCTCATGACCATGTCATATCCATAGTGCTTAGAGCAGGATAGGTACTCAGTCACCACGTTTTTTTACTAAACAATAAGTTAACTCTTGGAGTTCAGTTAGAACTAAGTCATCAGCTGGGGTATACCTGAGCTCAGGTGTACAGGGCTCTGTGAACTGACTCACCTGTCTACCCTTTCTGTCTTTCCCAGATTTGGAGAATAAATTAGCCAAAGTCCCACCATTTTTTTCTTTTATGTCTAGTCATTTCTGTGGGCTATAGACAGAATTGTGTCCTTTCCATCCCATCCTCAAATTTATATGTTAAAATCCTAAACACCAGAATCTCAGAATCACGACGATCACGACCATCCTGTTATTCGTCGATTGCCTCGAGCAGGCCCCAGTAACGTCTCCTTATCCTAGCCCTGAGATTTTTAAGAAAGTGCTATATTCAAGGCTCTTTAGGAGAATGAGACCCATCATTGTTACTGATACTTGGCATATTGGGTACGCCACGGGGAGTTTGCCAGACTCTGCCATGTGGGCAGGTTACATTCGGTAGCCTGCCAGTTTGTCTAAAGTAGGAATGAGATAATAAGATATCATAATAAGATGTCTCCTGCCCCCACGCCTGGCTGTCCTCGCCAGGGCCCCTTGGAGGTTTGCGGGTTGAGCTTTCCTCCCCGCCCCGACCAAGGCTCCGGCAGCCGAAGACCTCCAGGACCAACCACCACCATGCTGAGACCACTCTCCGCACACATGAAGGTACTGGCAGAGGAACAAAGGCAAGCGGTTCCCGGGGCCGAAATCTCCAAGCTTACTCGGATCGGGGCTGAGCATCCTCCACCCAGATCCTCCGAATTCCAGTAGGCGGGGTCACACCCACCAACTGGCCCCCTGGCACCGTGTAATCCCATCAACTGCCAAGACTCAGAGACTATAAAAACCAGCTCCCAGAACCGCGCGGCCACGAATGTGATAGGGTATTTAAGGAGTGACCATGCAAAGGTCTTTAGATTTATAATCTACTGCAACATGATTTGTAGTATTATAAGAAGAGATTTAGAGGGACCAGATAGATAGAACATGCTTAAGGCCTAAGACTTAAGGTTCTTGTTTGCATGCAGCTGATCCCCAGAACCATTCCAAACACCCACATACAGTGCAAACCTGTGTTTGATCCCAGGTACTGCATGCTTCCCTGAGAACCTTCTGGACTAGCCCCTGAGCAGAGAATCAGGAATAAACCCTGAGCACCAATGGTGTAGCAAAATAAAAGAAAGAAAGAAATTAAGAATAGAACCTCCATATAATGCAGCAATTGCCCTCTGGGTATCTACCTCCAAAACACTAAAATGTTAATCTGTAAAGATTAACACATCAATGTTCATTGCACTAGCTAAGATTCAGAAACAATAGAGAAGTGGATAAAGAAATTGTGGTATAATCTTTCTCATACATGGGACTTGAAGATAAACAGCAAGGTAGTAACTAAGGGTCAATGACAACACAAGGAAGAACTCCACACAACTGAGTTTGTGAAGATAATTCTGGGGTCAGCTGCATGAAAGCAAGAGCCTTAAGAGAAAGGTGTTGGGGTCCTTGGGGAGGGTACACTGATGAGGGGTCTTGTGATGGAATTATGTGCGTGGGAAAACATCATTAATCAGTAGTATAAATCACAGAAGCTCGATCAATTTTTTAAAAAGCTTAAGAAAATAAAGAAAGGAAGAAATTGTGATATGGCACACAATGGAATACCACTCAACTCTGAGAAAAGATGAAATTATGTGGTTTGCTGCAACCAGGATGGAACTGGGAATTGGAGGTAACAGTGCTAAATGAAGGAGTCAAGAGGAAGAAAGACAAATATTGGTCAATCTCACTTCATGTGGAGTATAAAAAATCAAAGCTAAGGGTTAGACAGTCCCCAATGGAAACAACCCCTGAGATGTTGTCAACAGTGAAATGGAACTGAAGCTGGGGGCGGGAGGTAGTGGGGGGATTTGAGGGGGGGCAGGGCTGGGGCATTCAGATGACGGTCAAGGGTTATTGACACAATTGTTGGTGAGGCTGTGAAGTAACACTGAAAGTATAAAACATGGAAACTGCTGAAATCCCCATTAATTCAGTAAAACTCAATACATACATAAAAAAAATTTAAATGGGGTCCAGACAGATAGTACAGAGGTGAGGTCATTTGATTTATATGCAGCCGGCCCCAGCACAACATAGGGGTCCCTGAGCACAATTGGGGTCTCTCCTGAGCACAGATAGGAAGAGTCTCCAAGCACAGCCATGTATGGCACCAACATGCCCTATTCCGTGACAAAAATCAAAATGACCTTGTAGGATAAGGAGATTTCAGGAGCTGGAGCAATAGCACAGCGGGCAGGACGTCTGCCTTGCACGTGGCCGACCCTGGTTTGATTTCCAGCATCCTATATGGTCCCCTGAGCACCGCCAGGGAAAACTCTTGAGTGCAGAGCCAGGAGTAACCCCTGTGCATTGCCAGGTGTGACCCAAAAAGAAAAAAAAAAGAGATTCTGAAATGGACAAATGGAAATGGAATTCAGCACAATATATCCATAGGGAAAAGCCACAGCTGTGGGACTGGCAAACACCCAGGTCTTATCCTCACCTGGTAATAAAACTCTGATTCCCCAAGAGCCATTTTATATTAGCAGTTACCAGAGTGTGTTTCTCAGGACAGTCAGCAAACACTTTGAAAAAAAAAAAATTTTTTTTAAAAAAGGAGGAAACTTGGGGATTTCATGGGTTTCTGTAATGCAGAACTTCTCAGTACTCAAAGTACATTTATAAATCTTCCTCCAAATGATTAGATCATAAATTCTTTTTCCCCAAGAGAATCTCACAGATGGAGTACTACAGTTAGCATTCTTTACTTTTTTCCTGGTATAACTCACTAGTGGGTAGAAAATCCCAGCCAACCTATGATGAGCACTGTAGCGGGAAGTACTAGAGCAAGCTCCAGACATTAGCATGCTTGTACAACTGCTGGGGCCTTATTCCATCCCCGGCATTAGAAACCCATCCCCAAGCATCCCTGGGTGTGGCCTTGGTGTTCCCCTCACCACAGGGCCCAAGAATCCCCACATCCTTGGGCCCTACCACTGAACTGCTGGCCCAATTGGCCAAATATATCCAGCTGTGACCTTGAGACCCCCTGAACACCACTTGGGAGCATCCCTCCATCAAAAAAAAAATACCTGGGGCTGGAGTCATAGCACAGTGGGGAGGGCATTTGCTTTGCACATGTCTGACCGTGTTCAATCCCTGGCATCCCAAATGGTCCCCCAAGCACCACCTGGAGTAGTTCCTGAGTGCAGAGCCAGGAATAACCCCTGTGTATTGCTGGAGGTAACCCAAAAAGAAAAAAAAAAGTAAACAAAGAAAGTACCAAACTAAGACAGAGATCAGGCCCTCATGTTGTGCTTCCAGACCTGCAGACATCTGGAGAAAAACAGGAGGGAAAAAAATCAAAACAACAGGGTCACAGATGTGGCTCATGGTGCAGCATTTGCTTTGCAGGTGTGAGGTCCTGCACTTAATCTCCAGCACCGGACAGTCTTCTATGTACCTCCGAGAACAACCCCTGAGCACCAAAGCAGGAGTAGCCTCTGAGTATTACTGGGTAGCACTGTAGCACTGTCCTCCCATTGTTCATCGATTTGCTCGAGTGGGCACCAGCAACATCTCCACTGTGAGACTTGTTATTGTTTTTGGCATATCAAATATGCCTCAGGAAGCTTGCCAGGCTCTGCCGAGCAGGCGGGATACTCTTGGTAGCTTGCCATGCTCTCTGAGAGGGATGAAGGAATGAAACCCGGGTCAGCCGCATGCAAGGCAAACACCCTACCCGTTGTGCTATCACTCCAGCTGTGCTATCGTTACTGGGTGTGACTCCCAAAACAAAACAGGACTGGAGAGTTAGTACAAGGTTAATGTGTTTGCCTTGTGTTTGGCAGACTCAGGTTCGATCCCCATCGTTACATATGGCACCCTGAACCCACCAGGTGTAATCCCTGGGCTGAGCCAGAAGTATCCCACAGCCAGGTGTGGCCCAGAAACAAATTATTTTTTAAAAAGTGAAATTCGCCAGCTCATAGCATAAGTGTATGACTATATTTTTAAGTAACCAATATTTTAATTCCTACATGCCATGTGCTAAAAAATACTTCATAATAATCCTTGTAGAATATCTACTTTCGCTTTCATTTGTACAAAATTTTAAAATGAAAAAAAAAATCCCAGCTGGGGCACAGTCCAAAAACTAAAACTATTCTGCTAAAGGTCATAGAGCAATGAACTACCAGAACTAGGCTGACATCCAATGAGGAAGAGGAGTCCAAGAGTTCTCAGAAATCAGCCTGAACCCTTGCAGGGCACATGTTACAGGAGTCCTGCCGCAGAACGGGAGAAAACGTGACAGCCCGGAGGAAGGGTCCGTTCCAGATGATGATGCTTCTACCTTCTGGGGAAGAACCGGTGAATGTCGGGCTGCAAGAAAGACTCAGGAGCAGTGTTCGGCTCCAGCAGGGTGGTAAGCAGGCTTCCAGAACAGAGAAGTGGTCACAGGGGAGAACAGAAATACCCGGACGACAAGTACAACAGTGTGTAAAGATCCGTGAGGTCTGTGAAGTACCAAAATTCACCCAGAGCCGAGGCCCAACGGCCCCTCTTACTGCATTTCCCCTGTGCCAGAGGGGGCGAACGAAAGTTCCTGAGGAAACAGCCCCTCCTTAGCTGACACTACCACCTCGTGCTGCCTCACTTACCACAGTAGGTGTACGAAACACTGAGCGTCGAGGTGTTGCAGACCCAGAACCGCTCCTTCAGATCAGTCAATACCGGAGAAAACAGGGCAGAAAAAAGCACAAATGGAAACATGATTCAGTCCGATCTTGAAAAAAATGTAAGGAGACTTGGAACTAATCTTCAGATTGTTTCCTTTCAGTTAACTAGAAAAGGTTCCTTTCACTTAGTCATGTCTCACATGACTTCTCACCGGTTCCTCTTTTCTCTGTGTGTGTGTGTGTGTGTGTGTGTGTGTGTGTGTGTGTGTGTGTGTGTGTCTTGAAGACTTCCTGCAAAGAAAGATGGGGAAGTGATTTGGAATGTACTCTTTTGGTTTATTTTGATGGACTTGGGAGACAGTACAAGTTTTGATTTGGGGGCCACCCCGGGTGGTGTTCAGTGGACACTCCTCACTCAGTGCACAAGAGTTGGTTATTCCTGGTGGTGCTCAAGGATTGAACTGGGGGCTCCTTCATGCAAGCTCTTTCAGGGCTCCTCAGCCCTCTGGGCTATCTCCCCAACCCTAGAATGTGCTTTTTTTGGACATACATAACCATTTGTTTGGACATGTATAACCATTTGTTTAGTTAATGTCATTTTGGAGCACATGCTTACAGCAGTGCTGGGTCTCATGGCTCAGATATAAAGAAATATCTCCCTCTACACTGTGGAAGAGTCCAAGACCTCTGGCCATCACCCCTAGGCAACTCTCAGATTGCCTATTGTCATGCCAGCACCCTCCATTCCTCACCTATCCTGGCAACTTCCTCTCTGTAACCTGAGATAGCTGTTTTCACACTTGGTATCTTCCATTTCCTACGCCCTTAGTTTGGGAGAACATGTGGTATTTGTCCTGGTTCTCTGGCTCACTTCACTTAACAGGAGATGGTCCAACAGGCCTGTCCAGGAGAGGGTTTGGGGGTAGGAGGGAACCTTGGGTCATTGGTGGAAGGTGGTGGGATTGGAGTTGAAACACTTTATGTCTGAAACCCTATTGTCAACAACTTTGTAAATTACAGTCTAAATAAAAATATTTTTAAAAATCAAGTCGGTTAAAACTTTAAGAACAAAGGTTTAAAGCAAGATTTAAAAGCAAGCCTGCGCACAATACCCACACTCGAAGGGGGCTGGAGTGACAGCACAGCAGGTAGGGCATTTGCCTTGCACGCAACCAACCCGGGTTCGATTCCCAGCATTCCATATGGTCCCCCGAGCACCGCCAGGAGTAATTCCTGAGTGCATGAGCCAGGAATAACCCCTGAACATCACTGGGTATGACCAAAAAAAAAAAAAAAATACTCACACTCATTTTGCAGCTGCCTCAGGTTCTTTCCAAGCTCTGCTAGTTTCTCACGGTATCAGACGTTCCTCTTATGCAAATTATTTCTGCTCTGCAGTAAGTACAGGCACAAGACAGAGCCAGGCTAGGTGAGATCTAGATGCAGGGACACTAGAGGGACTAGAGAATGCAGTTCCAGGGAGTGTTGAGAGGCCCAAGGATGAAAGTCATCGTTGAATGGTGTGGGGCTGAGGTGGTGTATTTCAAAACTCTCTCTGGAGTCTGGGGAGATTGCTTAAACGTCTGAGCGCAGGCTTTGCAAGGCAGGAGGCCTGGTTCAATTCTCAGCACCATATGGTCCCCTCCGCAAGCAAGCAGGGAGCAACCCCAAAGAGGGAATGGCCCCCCAAGCACCAGAGTGTAATCCAGAAGCAAAGTTAAAACCGTCTTTCTTGAGGATCTGAGAGTTAGTATAAGGGTGCTTGCCTTGCACACAGCAGACCCCCATTCCATTCCGGGTCACACCATATGACCCCCGAGTGATCCCCTGAGTACTGCAAGGTGTGGCCCAATCTCCCCACTCCTTCAAAATAAAACTTTCACTGTTCTAAAGGTGGTTAAGGAGCTGGAGTGATAGCACAGTGGGTAGGGCGTTTGCCTTGCATACAGCTGACCCGGGTTTGATTCCCGGCATCCCATATGGTCCTCTAAGCACTGCCAGGGGTGATTCCTGAGTGCAGAGCCAGGAGTAACCCCTGAGCATCGCCAGGTGTGACCCAAAAAGCAAAAAAATAAATAAATAAATAAATAAATAAAAGTGGTTAATCCTTTAGATGCTTTGCTACTTAAAATCACCCCTTTACCAGTTTGGAATCAGTAGGCCAAACAGCAGAATGGAGGGAGGGTGTTAAAACTCTATAGTTTTAAGGGCCTGAGCACCCGAGCCTTGGGTCCGCCATTACCGGGTCAGATCCCCGGGATCCCAGGGAGTGAGCCCCCCACAGTGCTGAGGAAAGCTCTAGGGATGGAACCCAAGTCAGCCACATGCAAGAAAGTGCCTTCTTTACTCCCTGCATTCTCTCCAGCCCTTCTAAAAATTAGTTTTAACATCACTGTATCACAGCCATCCCGTTGTTCATCGATTTCCTCGAGCAGGCACCAGTAACGTCTCCTTTGTCCTAGCCCTGAGATTTTAGCAAGTGCCACATCGGAGGCTCTTTCTGGGTCAGGGGAATGAGACCCATCATTGTTACTGTGTTTCGCATATCGAATACGCCACGGGGAGCTTTCCAGACTCTGCCGTGCGGGGCAGGATGCTCTCGGTAGCCTGCCAGGTTCTCTGAGAGGGAGAACTAGACAATAGGAGGTCTCGAGGCTGGCTGCACGCTTCCGGGAGCTTGGTTTTAGTCTCTGGATCTTGGCTGTTGATGGGATTACACGGGGGGAGAGGGATAGTTGGTGGATGTAACTACCTAGCTACTGGAAGATGGGGTATCTGGGTGGAGGAGGCCCAGTCCGGATCCAAGCAGGCTTGGAGATCTCAGCCCCAGGTACTGCACACCTGGTTCTTCTGCCGGTTCCTCCACGCGTGAGGCTCGTCTGAGCATGTGGAGAGTGGTCTCAGTATGGCTGTGGCTGGTTCTGGAGGTCTTCAGCAGCCGGAGCTCTGCTCGGGGCGGGGAGGGAAACTCAACCCGCCCCCCTTCAAGGGGCCCCGGTAAGGACAGCAGGCACGGGGGCAGGAGACTCTGCGTTCAGTTTTAACATGAGGCTAAATATCTGCACACTTAGAAAAATCCATGCAAGATCTCTACCTAACACCATGTACAAAAGTAAGATCAAAATGGATTAAAGACCTAAACATCAGGGGGTATGGAGCTGCCACAAGTCAATCTGTACCTGTGAGGTGAGTGCATCAGCAGCCTGATGGTACCTCCGATTTCCAGATACCCCAAAATTGCTGCTGTACCTCTGGCCAGACCCCAAAAACTTGGGGCCAAGTTTACTAAGAAAGTAAAAGGCCAAAAATTAGGTATGTGGGAGACACACCCACGAACCACCTCGTGCTCAGCTATATAATTGGAGGCGTGGCCTCTCTGGTTCCTGATCGAACTGCTTAAAGGCCATGGTCCCAGAGACTCAGAAACGAATCTTGGAACCCAGTGGCTTTGGGCAGAAATGCGTCCGGACCCCGCAGTAGGTTACCATTGCTGAGCCACACAAGGGGGGAAAGGGTGTTGTCCCTCCGCCTGCTCCCCCTAGGTGGCTCGATGGCCACCATCCTCCAGAGGCCACTTGACAATCAAGTTTGGAACCTCAGTGATGAGACACGTGGGACCTCACGGGATGGGGGTGGAGCCGGCCCTTTTCTCCCCATCCCAACAAGACCCCGAGTTACCGCCCATGAACGGCAACTGATCAGGCTGCTTAACGGCCATAATCCCAGAGACTCAGGAACAAATCTCGGAACCCAGCAGGTTTGGGCAGAAATCCCTCCAGATTTGTTAAAATTTCCGAATTTCAAAATTGCGTGGGGGGCCGGAGTAATAGCACAGCAGGTAGGGCGTTTGCCTTGCACGCAGCCAACCAGGGTTGGATTCCCGGTATCCCATATGGTCCCCTAAGCACCGCCAGGAGTAATTCCTGAGTGCAGAGCCAAAAGTGATCCCTGAGCATCGCTGGGTGTGACCCAAAAAGGCAAAAAAAAAAAAAATCGTACAGCCACTACTGCACTCACAGGACATCATATGTTATTCTTAACCAGCAATAGAAAACAAATTGTCTACTGTTGCCTTTTCAGAAGATCTGAGTCTTGGGGTAAAATCCCAAATAATGGTGGGTCTGGTATCAAAATATTGAATGTGATCAAAGTAGAGAGAGAATGATGTGGAAATCATCTGCCCCACAGGTAGGGGGAGGGTGTGGGATGGGGGTATACTTGGGGTTTTTGTGGTGGAGAATGGGCACTGGTGGAGAATACGGGTGTTTCATTGTAGGACCGAGACTTAAACCAGAAAGTTTTGTAACTGCTCTCTTGGTGATTCGATAAATAAAATTATAAAAAGGAAAAAAAATCTAAACATCAGACCAGAACCCATAAAGTACACTGAAGACAAGGTTAGCAAAACCTTCCAGGACATTGAAGCTAACAGTATCTTCAAAGATGACATGTCACTGGCCAAGCAAGTGAAAACAGATAGACAAATGGGACTATCTTAAACAAAGAAGCTTCTGCACCTCAAAAGAAACAGTGACCAAAATACAAAGACAATCTACAGAATTGGAAAGGATATTCGCCCAATACACAACCGACAAAGGGTTGATATCAAGGATATACGAAGTACTGGTTGAACTCCACAAGAAAACATCCAACCCCATTAAAAAATGGGGCGACGAGGGGCCGGAGTGATAGTCCAGAGGGTAGGGAGTTTGCCTCTCATGCAGAGGACCTGGGTTCAATCGCCGGCACCCATACGGTCCCCTGACCACTGCCAGGAGTGATTCCTGAGTGCAGAGCCAGAAGTAACCCCTGAGGATCGCTGGGTGTGACCCAAAAAGGAAAAAAGTAGAAAATCTGCTTAGTTTACAAATAAGAATCTGACTTAATATCACTATTAAAATATCTTTTAAAAAAATGGGGCAACGAAATGAACAGAAACTTTCTCAAAGAAGAAATTCAAATGGCAAAAAGGCACATGAGAAAATGCTCTACATCATTAATAATTAGGGAGAAGCAGATCAAAACAATGAGATACCATATCACACCATAGAGACTTGCCCACATCCGAAAGAACAAAAGCAACCCGTGTTGGCGCTGATGTGGCGAGGAAGGGACTCTCCTTCACTGCTGGTGGGAATGCCGACTGGTTCAGCCC